TCCAGGAAGCATAGAGAGTCCCAAACAAGATGGAAGCAAAGAAACTCACGCCAAGACACATCATAATTAAAATTACAAAGATTAAACATAAAAAGATGGGAGGGGGATTGTGGAGACTGGGTGAGAAGTGAGGGGATTAAGAAATACAAGTAGGTAGTTACAGAATAGCCATGGGGATATAAAGTACAGTATGGGAAATGGAGTAGCCAAAGAACTTACACGTATGACTCCTGGACATGAAAAAGGGTGTGGGGATTGCCTGAGGGAGTAGGAGATGCTGGGTGGAGGGGAGCAAAGTGGGAAAAATCAGGACAAATATAATAGCATAATCAATAAAATATAATTAAAATTACTAAATAACTTTTTAAAAAAACCTCATTCCTCCCACTGTTTTAGTGCCTTATGTCCTTGCTTGTGTGGCACCTTGACAGGCAGGAAACTGCTTCTTGTTAGGAAATCTTAGCAGAGATGGCATGTGCTGCCATCTGCCTGCACATCTACATCCAATGCTGCTAAGACCTAGGGAACCCCCAGTAAGCAGGCACAGTGGGCTTAGAGAGCTAGTCCCCAGGGGCTACAGCCAGGACCAGGCCTAGTCCAGCAATTTCCTGAGAAGAGCCTGCCAAAGGACATGGCTGAAGTTGGCTAATGATTGAACCATCCCAAATATTGACAGAGCCCAGACCTTGCCATTGCCCAACCTGTATGTGACTCCTCTCGATCACCTATAAGCTGGTTCAGGTCACAGAGGACAAAACAGGAACTTTGGAACCTCCCACAGTCCCACATGGACTCCCTCAATAGGGATATCTTAGGCAGCCCCTTTGGACCTCTTTCCTTTTCATCAAAAGAGAAAGAGTCTGCAGTTTCCCTTCTGGCTGCTGTGAGAAGACTGCCATCACATGGTCCATTGTGGTGAAGGAGGTGCTGGCCAGCTGCCTCATTGCTCTGCCTGTCTCTCTGCTCAGCCTCTCTTGGCCTCCCCTAGGATTTAGCCACCTGTTCCTCATCCTTCGCCCACCAAACATTCTCCCTTTGTGTTCACATCATCTTCCCACTTGGTGTGTCTTTGTTCAAATTTCCCCTTCATAAGAACACCAGTCTTATTAGAGGCTCACCCTACTCCTGTGTTATCTCATCTTAACTAATTCATGTACAATGACCCTATTTCCCAATGAGATCACCTTCAGTAGTTCCAGTGGATAGGACTTTAACATAAATTTGGGGGTGCGACACAACATTTTGTGATGGTTAATTTTATATTTCAACTTGGCTGAGCCATGGTGTCCAGATATATATATATTCAATCAAGCACTGTCTGGATGTTCTCTGTGAGGGTATTTTTGGAAGAGGTTAACATTTAAATTGGTAGACTGAGTAAAGCAGATGATCACCTTTATAATGTGGATGGGACTTATCCAATCAGTTGAAGGCTTTAACACAGGGGTGTCAAACTCATTCTCACTGGGGACCATATCAGCCTAGTGGTTGCCTTCAAAGGGCCAAAATAATTTTAGGACTGTATAAATGTAACTATTTCTTAACTGTTAAGGAGTTGAAATTACATTTGGCCTTTGAAGGCAACTAACTGCAAGGCTGATGTGGCCCCTGGTGAAAATGAGTTTGACACCCCTGCTTTAACAGAACAAAAACTGACCTCCCCTGAGCAAGAAGGAGTTCTACCAACAGATAGCCTTTGGACTAGAACTGTAACTCTTTCCTGAGTTTCCAGCATGTCAGTCTATCCCATCAGATCTTTGACTGGCCACAATTGGATGAGCCAATTCCTTAAAATAAATTTCATATATATGTGTGAATATATTATATAACAGGATAGAGAGAAATAAATACATACTGCTGATTTTGTTTCTCTGGAAAACCCTGATCAATACACAGTAGCTTTTAATCTTTCTTGTTCCTTGATTAGTGTATTTAAAGATATAATTTCTTTTGATGCATTGCTTTTGTTGTGTCTCACAATTTAATATTCAATTCTTACTATTTCTTAATTTCTTTTATGATTTTTCACTAATATATGAGTTTGAGAACATAAAAAACTATTTTTTGTTATTGATTTTTATTATCTTGCCTTTTGGCTAAAGGACATGTTTTGAGCCCTTGGGATTTATTGAGATTTTCTTCATAGCCCAGTATTTCTTTGTAAACGGTGCTAATATGCTAAAAGAGAATTACCCAAGCTTACTAACTTTATTGTTCAAACCCTCAATATATCTGTGTAATTTTAAAAATCTGTTTAATTTCTTGGTTTCTTGGAGAGGTTTTTTTTTTAATCCTCCCCTGAGGATATGTTTGTATTGATGAGAGAGAGAATATTGGTTTTGTTGTTCTACTCATCCATATATTTATTGTATGCTTCCTGCCCAGGCATCGAACCTGCAACCTAGGTATGTGCCCTAACTAGAGATTGAACCTGCAACCTTGTTGTATTGGGAAAATGCTATAATCAAATGAGCTACTTTGCCAGGGCTCAATATCAATATTTTATAGTAAGCTTATCTATGTCTGCAAAAAACTATGCTGGGATTTTGTAAAAGGTGAAAAATATGATCTGAAGAGAAACTGGAGTATCTATCCATGCTGGGATTTTGATAGGAGTTGTATTAAACCTATAGATCAGTTTTGGGGAAGTTGACATCTCTGTGTTGTCTTCCAGTATGTCTCTCCATGTATTTAGGTCTTCTTTAATTTCTTTTATCATCGCTTCTTGGCCTTTTGGCTAAGATCAAGTGTGGTATCTTATCAGTTTAATTTCTTTTATCAGTATTTTATAATTTCCATCACACAGATATGGTACATATTCTGTTAAATTTATAGCTAAGCACTTCATTTTCTTTAGAATTCATTAACCTAAAAATAAAAGGTCAAAGGTGAGACATAACAGGCATTTATTTGAGATTTTAAAAAAAGAATAGCTTTTCAAAAAGAACTGATTCTGGCAGGAGCCCAAACAGTGTTCTGATTAGGAGACCATGGCAATGGGTGTTTATGAGAAAGGGAAAGGGAACAATGACATGAATAGAAGGAACTGCTATGGCTGTACATAGGCTAACACAGTGATGTTGATTCTAAAGAATATCTTCAATTTTCAGTCTGGTAGTCATAATTGCTTTCTTGTTATCTTTTCAAACAATTCTTTTGGATACAAGCTTGCTTCAGACCCAGTCAAAAAGTTATTTTTCCCTGTTTTAACATCCAAAGGTTTGAGGCATTAGATATGCAAGACAGTTCCTCTGGGCTGACAGGTCCAACTCCATTTCAAAATGGCTCAGTTTATATTATTTTTTACAAGTGATTGGCATTGATATTATGTTTTTAATTTTGATTTCCACATATTCATTTTTAGTATGTAGAAATGCAATTCATTTTTGTGCAGGTTATTGTTTTTATTCTCTTGTTTTCTATTGGACAGATCAAGTTTTGTTGTGTTGTTTTAAAAGCTGTATTTCTGTTCTTACTTTGTTTGCCCTTAGAACCATATCCAGAGACTCTAAATGTTTGTTTTTCTAATTTTCACTAGTTTCACTGGCAAGCATGGCAGATCTCCTCATGCTGTTATTCTAGAAGTTATCTGGCCTGTGCTAGTTAGCCATGTTTACAGGAAACCCACCTGGGGAGTCTTGAACAGGGGCAGATATTTCCAGCATACTGTCATTGTCTCAATCCATCAAGTCCCACTGCAAGTGTTGGGGACACTGGCCCAAGACACTAATCAGCAACTGGTTCATGCCTTGGGCCTTGCTTCCTCCCACTTTCAAGTAGTTCTACTTATCCCTTTTCCAGGTCCACAAGAAGGCAAACACTGTAGGCTCCATCTCAGGCATGCCTCTTTTCTTGTGCTTACACATAGATAACTTTCTCAGTAGGTCCTGATGTCCCCTCTGGTTGTAAGCAGCAGCTACTGACAACCTGGATATAATCACAAATCACAGCCCCCTTTACTGTTGACTGACTTGTGCCATACTCTCTTTATTCTCATTACTCAAGCAGAAAAGGCCCTTAAAGACCATTGATGCAGTGGTTTTCAACCCTAGTCACACATTAAATTGACCTGGGGAGTTTTAAAAAAGTCAGTGTCTAGGTCTCCTACCCTAAATCAGTTAAACCAGAATCTCTAAAGGTGGGAATGGACATAGATGTTTTCAAAATCTCCCTAGGGGATTCAAATGTACAGCCAGGATGAGAATCACTACTCTCATTTTAATACCCTCATTTATTGTTGCCTGGAGAAGGGAAGTGACTTGCCTGAGGCCACACAGAGAGTTAGATTAACTTTAGGACTTTCAACCAATTGTATCAGATTTGATTCACCACTATCCTTTATTATCAGATACATCCTAATCTCGTTCTCTGACTCATTGATTTATGCATATAAAGCCAAATCAAGACAGAGCTTCTTGCTTATTGCTATTTATGATTGTGCAACATTGTTCTTGAATAGCTTCCCCAACTGCACTGTGAGCTACTGGGCTGAACCTTCTAGGTCTCGCTTCTTCCCTCAAAGGGCCAATGATGGCCTACATGCCTACAGTGCTCAGAATGTCTGCCCTCCAGGACCAGTGCAGAACAGACAGCAGTACCTAGATTTTAGAAACAGATTTGAACGCACTATGTAAGGCTTCTTGAGCATGTTTCCTCCTTTCCTCCTGTATACTATGAGTTAAAACTTTCTACCTCCAGTGTTGGATTTGTTGTACAGCTTTAGCTTCAGGTTCTCTGACTGGCACAGGCCCCTTCTAAGGCCCTGGGAGGGGCTCTTGAAATTTTGAAGCCTTTAATCTTTTTCATAAAGAGAGTTCCCCAGATGTTACCAGCTTCAGACCCCACAAAACTTAGATCTGCTCTTCCCTAACCCAGAGTTGCTGTGGGAGTTCAATAAGATCCTGTTCATAAGGTGTAGGATATACAGATGTTCAATAAATATTACTTCCCTCAAGAGCAGCTCAGAAAAGGGATGGACAGACAGACAGAGCAGCAGCTGGTGTGCTTGTTGGATGACCCTTTAATGTCACATATATTGCCATTCAATAGCCAGTCCCAATTTCAGAGTGGCCTCTGGGATCCAGACATAGTGGGTGAGGTGCTAGGGCACCTGGCTGTTGATGGAGGCCTCCTCAGCTCTGATGTGACTGTAGATCCAGTCGAGGTAGCGGCTGACTTTGGTGTAGATGCCATAGTTGTGGAGGCGGCCACAGCCCTCACCCCAGCTCACCAGGCCCACCAGGAACCAGGTGCCATGGAAGGAGACAACCATTGGTCCCCCACTGTCACCCTCACAGGCATCCCGTGGGTCTCCAAGGATGCCCGCACACAGCATATTCTCAGAGACTATATTTTGCATGACCTGTACGCACTCATTGTGAGGGGCCACTGGAATCTTAATGAAGCTGAGGACAAAGGTAAGGTTTCTCTTGGTCTCACTACGGTAGCCCCAGCCTGTCACCACTGTCTCCTGGCCAACCTTGGTGAGCTCTCGCTCTGAGAGGCCACTGTCAGGGAGGCAGATGGGCACAATGGTCTGCGAGAGGGGGGCGGGCCGGGACAGATGAAGTAGAGCAATGTCATTGTCGGTCGTGGTCCTGCTGTAGTTGGGGTGCATGAAGAACTCCTTGATGTCTAGATCCACCTCCCACTTCTCCCTGCGCCGTAGGTCATATTCTCCTGCAGGGCAGAGGGGCTGTCAGAGTGGACTTGGGGACTCAGAACCTGCTAGAGGGCAGGCAGTGGGTCCACAGCTGAAGTGGTCACTGCATATCTCAGGCCACACCATGGTCCACATGTCTGTACTTCAGTTCCCTGTTAAGGGTAACAGCCTTTATGGGCATCTATCCTAAAGGGTTAGAATGCTGCTTTGAATGTAGGATGCACAGATGGAACAGTGCCAGAGAAGTAAGTAGCAGTGGGAAGTCAGCAGGAAAACCCAAGACTCCCTAGAAACCCAGGGCACAGAGCAGAGCCACAAAAAGAATGGGAGACCAGAGCTGGAAAGACAGACACCTGGGGCAGCAGAGGCATAGCCAGCAGTGCCTGACTTGAGCACAAGGCAGGAACATGCCATGTGGGGACGGGGCAGGAGCAGCAAGGCCCATAGAGGAAGACCAACAGGATTCAGGCTCTGCAGGGAAGAAGGAACTGGGTCACACACAAGAGACAAGGTCCTTTCAGGCAAGGCTGGTGGTTCCTGCAAGGTTGGGGGATGTCTAGAAATTTCAAGCAGAGCCCCACTGCAGGGCATAGGCCATTGGTTGTACTACAGGTAATTGTAGAGTATGTGAATCTGTTCATTGTCAATACAACTTTTCCTTCTTTTTTGCATAAAGAATGGAGTGCGAGCCCCCTTCAGAAATTGGTAGAGTGGGGCCTAGGCATGGGGGTCCTGAGCTGTTGCAGAGAAGCAGCTGGCTGCTGTGGCAGTTGCTGGGCCCTGCTGCACAGGCCCACTCCCAACAGTCTATGTGAAGCATGACCCTGAGGTTAGGCTGTGTGGGTGCTTTGTGGGTCTGTGCCAGAGGGTGTTGGAGGTGTGCACACACGGCCAGCTGCATATGAGTAGGAGAGAGGAGGCTTGTATGTATGTAACCCCCTTATTTGCAAGCACTTGTGTATAAATACCTGGGCCAAGATTTGAAGATGGCACCTGAGAATCTCCTACCTGCAAAATACCAGGTGTCACTGTGTCTAAAATTCTACCACAGGAGTGGCAGGGTGGGACTACATAGACCTCTGCCCCCTAAACACCTTCTGTAGAACTCAAGAACTCCTCAGATAGGGTCCCCAAAAGAGGCCAGCTTATCTTGTGTCACCCCTCCCTGAGAAGTCTAGTGGCCCCTCCTGCTTGGCTACACCCCTCACCGAGCCTGACAGTGAGCTTCTGGGGGGTCTCCATGCAGTGGGCTGCTGTCAGTACCCAGGAGGTGTGGATCAGCACTGCCCCACAGGCCAGCTTCTTCTTTGAGTCCAGCAGGATCACCTGGAATGGGAGTGGGTGGTGATATCACAGCACTGCCTTTTGACAACTCCAAGTCTGGGTCCCTGTGTCTCAGCACAGACCCTGGCTGGTTTTCAAGCTGAGATACTAGAAGCATGTCAGCCTTTCTTGGGTCCCCTGGCCATGTGGCATGTACTTCAGGCACTTTTGTGGCATTTTCTATTTCTGCACAGTTCATGGAATTGGCCTGTTCCCTTTAGTGCCTTTAGCACATGCCTCTCACCACTCCAAGTAAAGACAACACCTCCCATTTTGTGCATCCTGAGCGGGAACTCCAGGCTGCTGCCCCTCCTCTCACCTGCCAGGGGCTCTCTCCCTGCAGGGTCAACTTCCCATTGACGAGCCGTGGATCTACTTGGTCTGCGCAACATTTCAAGGCCTTGCTCTTCTTCTCCTTTGGGTTCCATGGCCTTCCACAAGGGAATTTCACTGAAGGTGGGAAAAGTGGTAAGGGCCTGCCAGGCATTACCCCCAGACTGCCCTTCCATGCTTGTGCACATCTTGCCTGCAGACTAATTTGCCACATTCTGAGGTTCAAGGGTTAAATGATGGTTAGACTCACAAAGACATCAACCTGCAAATTCCCTTGGTGTAGTCAGTCAGCAAACAAAAGTCAGACTGAGCAGCATTACTTCCTAGCTGTGTGTACTTGGGTAGGTTGTTAAACTTCTCCAAGTTCAGTATTCCCCAGGACTGTTGAAGGCAATCCCTGAGATACATTAAATAAGGCCTCATGTTGGGATACTGCCAAGCTCCTCACAGAGGTTAAAAATTATGGAGAGGAGGAGGTGGGCATTCCTGGAGAGCACCAAAGTAGCTCTGAGCACTGTGGTGAGGTCCTCTCCCAAGAGGAGAGGGCACCTGACACAGAACTCAGGGGTTTGCTCAAGATGGGCCATTCAGCTAGGCTGAGCAATTTAGAATTATTGTAGGGTGGTGGAACACCATTGGCAGAAGTAAAATAGTGATAGGGAATGGAAAGGAGACAACAGCAACAAAATTCCAGAAGCTGCATAGCACATGGACACTGGCTGACTGAAAAAGCCAAAAAGGTCAGTAATAGTGGATGCCAGGTACAGACACCTTTTCACCATAGAACCATAGGAAGGCTTGGTGCCTCCAAAGGATGATGTGCAGGTAGGACTGCAAACAGGAATGTTAAGAGTCTATAAGAGAAACTGTGAGAGCCCTAGACCTCTGTCCTGACTCACAAGTGACTTGACTCTCCTCTCTCACCCCCCCACCTCCTGCCTCAGAAAGCCTTAGGTATATTATTTTCTTCAGAGGGTAAAACAGAGCCTGTGATTTGGGGACTCCAGGCACTGCTACAAGAAAGAGTAACATACAGAGGGAGTCACTCAGATATCTGCAGACTACCCAGACATCAGCTTCGCTCTCCACCCTCCTCTGAGAAGCAGGAAGCCAGGCTGGAACCACCCAAGCATGAGCTTAAAGGATTCCTGTCAGAAAGCAGAATAAAGTGAATACCTAAGGGTCTGGGCAATAGGGGTTATGCCAGTGACCTCAGCCTTCTGATGGTCTCAGAAGAAAGCCCATAGGTCAATAGCTCCACTAGGCATTTCTTTGCAACTTCCTATGAAAACAAATTAATTTAGAATACAAAGTTAGAACTCTTTATGTGTGCAGTAAAAAGATTGGGATATAAAGTTGTTGAAAGCTCCCTGAAAGAACATAATGTCAAAGAAATGGAAAATAGAAGAGACAATAAAATAGGTCCATTGAGAGGAAGAGATCTGAGAATAGGAGGTCTAGAAATAGAAAAGAGAAAACAGAAGGTAGGTTATCAAGAAACAACTGAAGAAATGTCTGTAGAGCTGGAAGACATGAATTTCTGCATTCAAAGGGTCCACCAAGGGCATTGTACAATATATGAATAAAGACCCACAGTGAGGAACAGCCTGCTGATATTCATTGTAAGAGTTGTAAAACTCTGTCTTCCTTGTACAATACATATATAAATTTAATGGAAATTAAAATTCATACAAAACAAAACAGGGAGGAAGGCAAAATCATGGGTTCCTGTCTTTCCATAGAGAAGCCACAGTTGAAGGGGAAATGGAATGCTGGGTTGTACAAAGCGTCTTAAGGAAATAAAGCTATCCAAGATAGATAGAGGAAGATGCTGGATGCCTGGCCTCCTGTGTTGGCTCAGATTTGGAAGATGAGCTACCTATGGGCTCAGGCTCCTGGAGTTGTCCTCAAGGTGAGCAGGGTCACCTGGAGGAAGGCCTAGGGCACCTAGAGCTTGGGCAGCCCATCCTCCTTTGGTAGGACTCAATGCTGCTCGTTTCTCAAGCCCTGGATACGTCCTGGGCCCCTCCGCCCTGCCCAGCTCATGGTCTCACCTTTGGGCTCACACTGCAGGTGGTCGTCCCACAGCTGGTAACCTTGAGCGCAGCTACAGTAGCGCTGGCCTTTCCCCTCCAGGCAATAATGCGCGCAGCCGCCATTGTCCACCGAGCAGTTGGAGAAACGCACTTCTGAATGGACATCCAAGGAGGGCGTCTTAGGGGAATGGTAGGACTATGCACCCCCCTCCCCCCCCGCCCTGCACTGCCTCTCCTGCCTCCTCCCTACAACAGGCACACCGACTGTTGCTCTCCAGAACTCAGCCTATACCACCTAGCCTGGTGGGCATCTCACCGTTCTGGCAGAAGCGGCCCTCCCAACCCTGGCTGCAGTTGCAGCTGAAGCCACCGATGCCATCAATGCATGTGCCGTGGCCGCAGCATGGGCTGTTGCACGGGTGCTCCAGAGGCTGGACCTTGCACTGGTCGTCGTCTGCGATATGGAGTTTGGAAGGTATCACTGCTGCTGCCAGTCCCATCTACCTCCCCACAGAGGTCCAGAGACCCCGAGGGGCACGGATACTGCATTCAGGTGTCTAGAGCACACTCACCCAGGTACTTGGACCAGAAGGCCAGCTGTGGAGAGAAGAGGCCACGTCAGCAGCCATTAGTCCAGGTGTGTATGTGAGAAGCCCATGGGGTACCTCCCTGGTCTGGCCCAGGTGGGGCTTGGCAGCCTCTAAATGGGCAGGGGAGAGAAAGGCTTCTGAACAAAGAGGGGTCAACCCCTGCTTGAAACTACCTGCAAGTGCATCTGAGCCCAGAGTTAGCTAGCTTCTCCTTGCCTCCTGTCCACCTCCACCCCACATCCCATGAATAACACCCTACTCTGCCCCCCACCATCCTGTGCAGCTGGAGGCCTGCTTCCTCACCTTCTGCTACCACAACAGCCTCTGCAATGAATGGGCCCAAGTGGTCCCTTTGGCTGCTCTGTCTCCTTCTAGTCCCTGTCACGCTCTCTTCATGGCTTTTCTGGACCTCTACTGCATCTGGTCTTTTCCTAAGCCAGTGTTCCCAAAGTTGAACAAGCTCTAGGATCTCATTGGTGAGACAGAGATCGCAGGTTCAGAAGATCTGGGGCAGTGGTCTGCTTTTCTAACCAGGTGCTGCTGCTACTGGTCTAAGACCACCACACCCTGAAATCCACTGCTTGATGCCTAGACCATCAATCCCTCCTGCAGCATCAGCTCTGCCATGACTGCACAAAGACCTTATGGTGAGGTGAAAGGCCCAGGAGGGATGTGATAGGCTCAGACTTTGTCTGCAGAATATTTGGTGTCTGTTGAGGAGACCATTCGGGAAAAGAGGCAGGGGAATCTAGTCAAGGAGGTAGCAGCTGAGGGCAAGAGAGGGAGCAGACCAGAGCTCACCCCCAAGCCTAGGAAGCCCTGACCAGGAAGTACACCACTACAGCATGTGGGACTGCAGGGTGGCACAACTCCCAGGTCCTAGCAGCTGAAGTGGGCACTTGGGAATGGTGAGGTTTTGAGACTTGTACTGGAAAGCCACCTCTCTTACCAAGTCCATCTTCCACTGCAGGGCTACCACCATAGGGTCTGGGGGCCAGAGAGGACATAGACGCTGTCCTCAGAACCCCTAAGCAAGCAGATTTTGCCCCTTGAGAATATGAACTGACACACAGAGTTAATATATGTGGGCAGATATCAGGGAGTTTGGCCACCTATCCTACCAACATGTTCATGGGTCGGAGGAGAGATGGAAGCCCTTTGGTTACAGAGGGAGAGAATAGGTGAGGTGGAGGTGGCCAACTGCAGGTGCGGGGAGAGGACCTATAGTAAACTTGGGTGGGCACTCCAGCCTAAGGCTTCCCCAAATCCTTTTTTCCTGGAGCTAATTGCAGAGTTCTGTCTCTTGCAGTGCACATACACCATAAAGCCATTGTTCTGTTCATTCTATGTACCCAGCCCCAAGCTGAGGGCAAAGGGGCTAGTACCCACTGTGTCCCCAGACACCCAAGATGGCCTTCGTGGTCACCCTCATCCTGCTTCTCCAGGCCCTAGCCAGCCACCAACCCACCCTTCAGCCTTGTCCTCTGGACCCAGTCAGGTGGTCTTACTGTGTTATCCACATTTTGGAAAATCTCCTGGGCTTCCTCGAAGTCACAGATCTCCTCCATGCACTCTCTCTCCAGGTTGCTGGCCCGGAGCTCCTCCAGGAAGGAGTTGGCTCTTTTGTTTATCCGTAGCACCTGGTGGGCCCGCTCACTACTGGAGAACACTGAGTCTGGTTTGGGCAAGGGTAGGGAGAGAGCTCACTTTGGTGGAGGGGGCCTGAGGTGGGGACCTATGCCAGGGTGAACCTGGGGAGGACTTATGATTCCAGGTCATGATTCTCTTTCCTCTCCTCTGCTCTCTTCCCTCACTTGAAGAGGCAATTGGAGGCTGGAGGACAGGAGACTTGACCATTTAGACCTCCCTTTGAACCCCAAGCTGTTGTCTGTGTGGCCTTGAGACACTGTCATTACATCGCCGAACCTCAGGTTTTCATCCAAATTGACAATGTTTTACTGGACTGAGTAAAACGGTCCAGTTCCTGGCACAGAAATGAACATCCAAAGTCACATGCCATATGTGGTTGTTATCAAGAATGCAAAGTGAAATTATTTTCATTGTTCTCTGAATATACCTGTCCAACCCTGTCTAGACATTGCCCTTCCACAATCTCCTCCCTCACTGAGCAATTCCTATGCTCCTCCCCTTGGGCAACAGACCTGTTACCTAGTTAGTATCACGAAATGTCTCCTGGGCAATGGGAGGTGTCTGTCTTGGGGACAGGGGATGGGGGATCAAGTCAGGGGAGTGCAGAGGAGAAGCTTGAGGGAACATGCAAAGGCCAGGAAAGGAAGGTATGACTCCTGAGCTCAGTCTGGACAGTTGAATCAAGTGGTCACAAGTGGGAGTTGAAGGGTGGTGGTGCGGGAGGAGGAAGGGCACCCCAGGTAGAGAAGTAGCTCAAGAAGAGGTAAAATGCAAGTAACAGCCTGTGTGGCGCCAGAAGAGGAAAGGGGTGCTGCCAAATAAATGAGGCAGCCCGTTCTGCGTGTAGGCCTCCCCAACATCCTGCCTCCTCCTGTTGGCTGTGGGAACCAGAGGAGGGGTTTGGAGCAGGGTTTCAGGAAGACAGGGTGCCTAGGGCAGTGTGACTCTGATGTGGACTGGCCTGGCCTGGGCCTAGGTCTTTGATAGTTGAGGGAGTGATGAGTGGAGTGGGAAGGCTCAGGGGACTCTGTGACCCATTTCCAAGGTTGGAAGGAGGAGCTGTGCTGATGGGGCTCCCTGCCTTCACCATGCCATTCTGCCCTGTAGCTAGGGAGGCTGCTGCTGCATTTAACAGTTAACAGTCTGCTTGAGGCTCAGAGAGATGGTGGAAGGTTTGAAGGCCCCAGGGTCCTAGGGAGTGGGGGTGAGGGGTAGCGGCCTTACCAGAAGTAACTGGTGTGCTGGAAATTCTCCGGATGGTCAGGAACAGTAAGAAGCTTGCCAGCTGCCACATTCTGGAATTGCTGATACCTGTCTGAGGAGGACTTCTGAGCTCTGGCAACCCCACCAGTCCCTGCTCTGCCTGCTGGCCCCTGGACAGAAGTCTTCCATGTGTGCTGATTGTCAGGGCAAAAGCTGGTGTTGAGAATCCCTGTCCACTAGGCAGACAGTCACCTGGCACCTCAATTTCCTTTTCCATATGGGGCCAAGGTCATATCAACTACTCCAAGTTTAAAGGGGGAAGAGAGAAAGCGGAAAGAGTATGGAGTCCTGGTGAAGATCAAAGGGACAGAAAGTACAGAAAGGACATGGCAGGTGTACCTAGAATGCTCATGAACCCTAACAGTTATCAGACACTCCCAGAATTTACAAATGGTTCATAGAGCAGGCCACCAAGTCAGACCACTTGGTGCAAATCCCAGCTGCAGGACAGCAACACTGGGCAAGAAACAACTGCTCCAGGCCTCAATTTTATCATTTGTAAAAACTGTACTTCTGCCTTATAGGGTTTTTGTGAGAATTAAAGAAGTTAATCCACATAAAGCTCTTAAAATACTATTTTCACACAGCATATGCTCCGTAAACATTAGCTATTATTATCTCAATTAAGGCTACTCAAGATGTGTGCTTAATGTAGTAACCCCATTTCATGGAGGAGGAAGTTGAGGCTCAGAGGAGTGATATAACTTACTAAAAATCCCACAACCAGGAGAAAGCAGAGCTCAGACTTAAGCCTGTGTGGCTCCAGGCCCCAAACCATGCCCCAAAGCAATGGGCACCCCACAAGCCTAGAGAGGTAGCCCTGCCAGTTGGAAGCCAAGGAGCCTTCCACTGCCTCCAAGACTGAATGGGCAGACCTGCCTGACAATCTGCACCCTGTCCAACCACTCTCCATCTTAGCACTGATTCTGAGGCTGGTTCTGATTTTTGTTTAAACCAGAGGCCCAAGTTTAGAAGTTGGGGTGGGGTGGGAGAATGGAGGGCCCCAGGTTCTAAGCTGCCTCTGGCAACGTCCCTGGCCCCTTGGAAGTCTTGGACCCTGGAGGCCCTCTGCTGACTTCCACTTGTCTTAAAGCCTGGAAAGAAGGGCCCTTGAAACTCTGGCACACTTGGCCTGAGGACTGCCAACTAGTGCCTTGGCCTGGCTGGTGGCAGAGCCCTGATTTCCCTTTACCCTAAACTGCAGCCATCCTCTGAAATCTTGGCTCAAGGATTTAGCTTTTACTCCTGCTCAGCCCTCCTGCAGCCCACCCCACAAACCTGCCTGGAAGGGGACTTACTGGGATGGGCTCTGGAGAAACTGCTCAGGCGCCCTCCTGCCACCATGACGGCCTGGAACTTCAGTTAATCCTCAACTGCAAATATTTGCCTGCTTGGCCCTCAGTGCTGCGGCCTCCCTCTTCACAGATAAACAAACACACTCCCAGCTCAGGATGGCTTAATTTGCCCAAAGCCCACCTTACCCGCCAGTGGTGCAATCCAGGAGGGAGAGAGGTGAAGGACAGGCACTATCAAAACTGTGAACAGCCCAAGTGGCTAGGTTGGTTGGAGCATCTTACTGTGCACCATAAAGGTTGTAGGTTCAATCTCCTGTCAGGGCACATACCTATGTTAAGGTTTAGATCTCTGATCAGGGTGCAAGAAGGAGGCAACCAACTGATGTTTTTCTCTCACATTGATCTCTCTTTCAAATCAATAAAAACATATCTTTGGGTGAGGATTAAAAAAATAAGCTGTACAGATGTGGTCTTATTTTAGTTTAGTGGCTAGCTGAAGGTGGGACATTGTCTCCGTTTTGTAGATGGGACATATTTACCCAGAGATATTGCTGTTTGCCCCAGATCAGCACAACTGGTAATAATTCCATATTTCACCAAATCTAGCCTGCCATTATTATCATATACCTATTTTATGTGTCATATACAAAATACAATTACATGCCACCAAGATTTCTTATTTTTTGAGGTTAAAAACATGAAAAGATGTGACTCTCAGGGTCCCTACCATATGGGTGCTGACCACTCTGCAGCTCCAGTCACTCCTGTGACTTTCCCCACAACTGCACATGGCTATTCCTATAACCTCTATTTTGCCAATGAGGACACTCAGAAATCTTGTTACTTGCTCAAATTCACTGAGTTGGTGCATGGCAGGTCTGAATTAGAACCCAGGTCTTTCTGGGATCTCCTGGACACCTTTGTGAACAAGTGAGAAAAATAAACAGGATTCCAGTAAGACTAAAGTCAGTTCATGGCACAGATGCCACAGAAGAAAGGACAGAAATAAAGGCTCCAACCTGGAGCTTTGGCCAGCCAGTCAGCATTCACTAAGTATCTTCCTTTCCTGAACCTGCTGTCCCAGAGGTGCCCCCATTTCTTCCATATCCTGTCCCTTCTTGGAGGACTTGACCATACTTCTCAGAGTTCCAGCCCCTGCATGGATCGCATGATCCTGACCTGCTGCCTTTGGTGATTGAGCAGGGAGGTCACTGGACCCAGGAGTCAATCAGAGTCTCTTCCACCCTGACTGGTGTGGCTCAGCTGGTTGGGTGTTGTCAGCAAAGCAAAAAGTTGCCAGTTAGATTCCTGGTCAGGGCGCATGCCTGGGTTTCAGTTTCAGTCCCCAGTTGGGATACATGCAAGAGGCAATGTATTAATGTTTCTCTCCCTCTCTTCCCCTCTCTCTAAAAATAAATAAATAACATCTTAAAAAAAATTAGAGTCTCTCTCCCAGGCCCCAGGAGTAGGGCCTCAGAGTCCTTACTTGCTCTCATTTCACTGTGAGCTCTGGACTTAGAGAACTCTGAAGCCAGGGTGTGGGCATTGGTGTTTGGGCTTAAGGTAGAGGAAGCAATGAGGAGGAAGGTATAGAGGTACAGAGAGAGGCTGAGCAAGAAACTATGGAGATCTGGAAAAGCCAAGGGAGATGAATGGGTCACACACTGGCTTTGGGTTCATGAGGATACCCCTGCCTTCCTAGGAAATCCTCTTTCCTTAAGTTTCCTTGATTTAGCTGGGATGGCTTGTGTTCCTCCTACTGAGGTATAGCACTGTATCTGGGCTGTGGAGATACAATGCCTTTATGCTTCCCCCACACCCCACTCAAGAAAGCAAGAGGAACAGGGTGGAAGTCTAATAAGGCAAGGCCACAGGGTGGAGAATTGCTGGCAGCTGAGATGGTGATGCTCCCGGGATTCAGAGGAGAGGGAAGTCAGCACAGACTGGAGGAGGGTGGGCAGGGAGTGCTGCCTGGAGGAGGTGGAGCTTACAGCTGGACATCAGAAGGACCCAGGTAAGAGGAAGTACCCTTAGATGGGGAGGGAGCTGAAGGTATAGGAAATGAGCAGGGGATGAATATTGGAGATGAGGTGAGTGGAGAAGGGAGGTGATATATCAGGGTTTGGAAAGTGGGGACCCAGTGGCTGTTTGTGAGGTCTGTGGCAGCTGTCTAGGGATGGAGACAGGAGGCATGGAGACCATATGCGTGACCATGCACGAGAGGCAACTTGCACAGCTGAGGAGCTTGTAAAATGCTTCCAGCACCCATGTTTTTGCTCCAGGCGTCCTCCTCCATAAGTCTATGGCCATCAGTGATATGGGCTCTCCCCACATCCACGTTGTCTACCAAGTACAATGCACTGTGGGTGTTCACTGGGACCCCTTCCTTCCCCCCTCCAAATTCCTCACCTTCCATTTTCTTCCCAGCCTAACATAGAGGGACAGGATATGGAAGAAATGGGGCAGCTGGTGCAGGAATGGAAGATACCTAGTGAATGCCTTGTCAGGCTGCAGGAACTGGGTTGATTCCATGTCCATATTCACACACTAATCCTGAACCAGCATAAAGTTCTGTCTGAGGTACCCACATCCAAAAGAGCACAGATGCCCAAAGCCCTAGCATCCGAGCATGCAGAGCCAGCACAGCTGCAGTGGGAGAAGTGACTGGTGCTGGTTGTCTGCCAAGGCCTCCAGATGCTCAGAGGAAAGGAGGGCTCCTCCTATGTGGGGGCAACTTTGCCTGCAAGTTCCCCCATCCACCATGGATGAAAGTAACACTAACAAGACATGATCTGCTTGGGGATGAGAGATGGCCAATTTCTCAGAGGAGAAGGGCCAGGAGCTCCTTCCTCAATGGCTTTTATTAGGTTGTAATACACAGGAATACAAGTGGCAAGGATCAAACACTAGATAACATTTCAAAGAAATCTGGGGCTTAGTCTGGTTCCATGTCTGTCAGGTAAGGGGGTTGCAGAAACTTTGGGAGACATACTCATTTCCTGCTCGGAACCCTTATCATATGAATGAAAGCACTTTTACCAAAGCAGGCTACACAGCACTTTTAGGAACTCTTTCTTATGCCCGGTCACCCCGAATCCTGGTCTAGCTGGCAAGAGGCTGCACCACCTCCCCCATCATAGGTTTTCAGGCTTAAGTGTATTAGAGCCAGGAAGCACTTCTCCTAGAGGACATGGGGACTTGGACTATGTCAGAACAGCCGGGGGGCAAGGGTCCATCACTCCCTCTTTGTTGCATCCCCTGAGTCCTTCTATGATGGCCTCCCAAGTGATCATGTCTGGCTTAGGTTGTCCCTCCTCTGAGGGGTCTTACCCGTCATGGACTATCCAACCATGCATTGGGAGCAGGGGATGAAGCAGAAGCAGCATTGCTACCAGAGACAAGCTTTGTCTCCTTTGTGGCTCGCATTTCAGAGGTTGCTCACTCACTGGTAGCCATGGGGGGCAGTTACAACTCCTGAAACCATGCAGAGCAGTTCCCAACACTCCTGCATAACTCTTGGTGCTTATTGGCCTGTTGGGTACTGCAGGGGGACCTGTGTCATGGCCTCCTCATAGGCTGGCAGTATGTGAGGTGTGGATCCCATTCCTGAAGCAGGGAAGGCCTCCTCAACCATTCTCAAACTCTGAGGGCTATGAAAGGTTGATGGAGAGTGCTGCCAGAAATCCAAGTGTCTCTGCTCAGTTGCGACAGGTTTCCAGCAAGGCACACTGCTCCAGTCCCATGGAAGGAGCCAGGCCATGTTCCAGCTTGATGAGCTATGCTAATCACTTTGCCAGACAGCAGGTGTCATTCCCCAGATGTGTGTCACCCCACATGGACTCAAATTCAGTCAGGCTGAATCCAGATGCCGGAGCCAGACTTTGACATCAGAGTCAGCTGTGTTTTGAAGAGAGGAGGGACATCTGTGTGCAGAAGTTCACTGAATTTACAAGCATGCAGGCAGAGGAATAAGAAGCAAAATTGTTGGGGGGGAAAACGGAAAGACAAAACTACCAGATGGCATCAGTGGTGGGGTACTGAAACCTCATCTTTGGATTCCATCTTACATAGGTTTCAACCTCAATGTAGCTCCTTTCTGGCTGGGTTATTTAACTTCCCTGGGCCTCAGTGTCCATATCTGTAAAATGAGGCTAATAATAGCCTTCACATGGGGTGGTTGTTATGGAGATTAAATTAAATTCACAAATATATGACAAATATATATATATATGTATATATATATATATATATATATTTATATATGTAATAGTGCAACCACCACCACAATAATGATACAAAGCATTTCTATCACCCTCAAAAATTTCCCCATGCCCCTCCATTCCCCAGTCCCAGGCAACAACTGATCTGATTTTTGTTGTTCTTTCTAGAATGGCATGGAAGTGAAATCCTACAACATATAGCCTTTTAAGATTGGTTTCTTCCACCCAGCATAAAGCTTTTAAATTTATTTTTAAAATAGATTTTATTTATGTATTTTTAGAGAGAGGAAGAGAGTGGGAGAACAGGAGAGAAACATCAGGGACCTGGCTGGCAACCCAGGCATGTACCCTGACTGGGAATCAAATCATCCGTCTTTTGGTTTGCAGAACAATGCCCAATCTACCGAGCCACAGTCAGGGCAAGATTAATCTATGTTGTTGGGTGTATTAGTAGTTTATTTCTTTCTATTGCTGAAGAGTTTCTGTTATATGAATGTACCACAAATGGTTATACATTCACCACTTCTTGGCTATTATTAAGTAAAGCTGCTAGAGCATTCATATACAAGTGTTTTGTAGGTATATGTTTTCATTTCTCTTGGACAAAAACCTAGGAATGAAGTTGGTAACTTGTGGTACGTATCTGTTTACTTAAATTTTTTAAAATTTATTTCTTAGAGACAGGGGAAGGGAAGGAAAAGAGAGGGAGAGAAACATCAATGTGAGAAAGAAACATTGATTGGTTTCCTCTCATATGCATCCCAACCAGGAACCAAACTCACAGCCCAGGCACGTACCCTTACTGGGAATAGAATGGGAGATGCTTTGTTTTGTGGGGTGACACCCAACCAACGGAGGTACTACACCAATTAGGGCTAACTGT